CCGCGGGGGCGGGCACAGCCGCATGGGCGGCCCAGAGCAGGGCTGCTACCCCCGCAGCCGGCGACGCGCGGGGGCTGGGGGTGCCTCTGGGGGTGCCTGGCTCCGCGCTGCCGCTGCACGGAGGAGCTGCGGGGCGGCGGGGGCGGCCTGCCCTCGCTTTCGGGTGCTCGCTGCCTCCGCTTCACCTGCCGGCCGGGCGCGCAGGTGAGGGGCGCGGACTCCCTGCGGCTGCCGGCCCGGGCCGGGCGGGCGGGCTGGTTGTCGCCAGCCGTGTCTCCAGCCTGGGAGGCCCGGGGAAGGAAAGGGGCCCTGGAGGTGCCCCCACCGCGCGGTCCCAAGTCCGCTTTAGCAGTCAGGCATGGAGTTGAATGGAAGTTGCATTCTTTTGCACACTCTGCTCCAGGAGGCACTTTTCTTTTTTCCATGGAAGGGAAATAGGTTTGAGAGCAAATTGGGGGAAAGGGAGAAATACCAGGGGAGCAAGAGCCACATTATGTTTCCATTTTCTTTTAATGAAGGCCCTGTGGAGGTGTATTTGAAAACACAGGGTCTCCTATGCCTTGAAGGAGGGTGAGAACACTGTGCTGGCTGGTTCCAGGGCCATATGCAGCGTATGGTGGCCAATGAAACGGGGCCTGGCTCGTTCTCTTGCTTGTCTTGGCAGCCTGCTCCATGGCTTGCATTACCAGCCCTGGAACACAACCACTGCCAAACTGTGAGTGTGTGTGCGTGTGTGTGTGTGTGCTTGGACTCCAAGAGCTCAGCAGAAGCAAATGCTTCTGCAGCTCAGACCAGGAATTTTTTAGCTAGTTTTGAGAAAAGTTGCATAAAAAAACTGTCTGCAGGTTCTTGACAGAATCTGCCCTGGGAATTTGTTGGTAAAAGCTTGTGTGAAGGCATCTGTGAATGTCAGTCTTCAGAGTTCAGATTCTTAGTGTGAGTCCTAGTAATTTAAAAATCACATGCCCATCTAGGGGATGAGTGTGTGGGTGCAGGAGTTGCCTTCCACACCATTGCAGCAATTGGTTGCTCCTGGTGTCAGGGAAATTAACAAAATCTGCTGAGTTAGTGTGCAGGTTATTGCCTCTGCTTCCTCATTGAGACACCTATGGATACTTTCCCTGCATCTTCACAGTTGAGTATTGCCCTCCTTACAGGATGCAAAGGTCTCTGTGCTACATTCCTTGCCAAGGAAGAATAAATACTCCCTCAGACCTCTTGCCTCTTTCTCCCCTGTCCCTTTGAGCAGTGTGTCCAACTGTTCAGGCAGCACTGAGCATCTGCTCTGTGGTGTCGTTCCCTAGCTAGCATTTGCTACTTCAGCTGCATTGCCTGGGCCAGGTACTTGGCAGCATGCGATGTCTTGAATGTGAAGCTGTAAGAGGCTCTTTTCACTGCAGTGGCTGTTTGTAGTGGGCCTGGCCCCAAGAGCAAGGGAGGCAGAGCCGTGGTGAGAAATGGGACCCCTTGCCAGCATGTGTGTGTCCTGCAGTGCCAGTGCAGCAAGGAGGGGGCACTGCAAACCTGATGCCATCTGTCTTTGACTGCATTTCTCAGTTGCTTGGACTGTCCGGGGTATCAATCCAAACATTGCAGGCTATTTTAACATGCAGCCAGGGAGCTGAAGGCACATTTGGGCCTCTCAGCTGAGCAGCGCTGATGCAAACTAGCCGGAGCTGGCCTTTTTATGGATTAGAGGTCTTTGTGGAGGACCCTGGTATTCAGGGCATCATTTTGAGGAGTTTGTAGGGGGGGGTAGGGGCTGTCATCTCTGAGGCCATCCTTGGCTCCTGAGGACAGAGCTTTGTGCTGGAGCAGGATTGTCTTCTTGAAGAAGATTCTAGCCCTGACCACATGTGGTTATGGAAGGTCCTGGGTAATTTCAACAAGTCAGTTGTTAGGCTGCAGCTCAGACACTGTGGTTTTCTCGGACCAGGATATTCCTTCCTTCTCAAATCCCTCTGAGCTGCTTCAGGTATGAATAGGATAGCTTTTACCTTCCTGCTCTGTACTGCCATCCTGGTGGACAGCAACCAATGGGTGGTACAACCTCAAATAATTAATTGCCATCTTAATAATACTGTGATAATTAATGGCATTTTTTGCAGTTATTGCAATTAACGATCGCCGTGGGGGAGCCTTGTTATGGTAAGTGCTGTACAAAACCCTGCTGTCACAGGTTGCTTGGAAGTCAATCGCTGCATTGCAGTGGTGGGAGCAGCTAAACTAGAGCTTTTTGCTGCCCTGTGAAGGTACAGAGGAAAATGCTCAGGGAGGAAGGGCTGTGAGCTGACTGCTTTGCTAATGGCAAATGGAGATTATTTCTAAAGCTGAGCACTGGAAAACCAGTATTCCCCCACCACCCCCCCATAAAAGGGACAAGAAGTTGAATCATTAGACAGGTGGGTGTGAAGGTCTAATGGTGAGACTCAGTTGGACAAGGGGCTGCAGAATGGCATTTCTGGGCTGCCCTGTGTGCACAGTGTAGGAAGCTTTGAGCTTCTCTGATGGAGAAGAGGAGGGAGGGAGGGCAGCAGGGCTCTTTGCATTCCTTTTTTTAGAAAGCTTTTCCTAGCCCTCTGTCTGTCAATGACTCTGATGTTCCTCCTGCCAGCTAGATGTGCAGGACTGAGCCAGAATGTTCCCACTCATGAAGCAGGTTTAGAATTCCACCTCCTGAGGAACAGTTCTTCATAGCTCCTTCCTCTGTTCAGCACTGTCGTTCCCCCACTCACTCTGTGAACTGGGGGTGAGAGGTTACATGTATGGGTGTTCACATACCCTGCAACTCTTCTCCCACCACGTGGGGTTGCCTGTGGGAGAAAGGAACAGCAGGAATGGCAGCTTGGAGTGTATGTGGAAAGGGCACAGATGTGTCTTGGGACCTGCAAACCTAGAACCTGGTTATAGGAACTATCTCTCCCTCCTGAGATGGAAAGGGAGTGTGGAGGTACTGCAATGAGTAGAGAAGTATCCTGTGTATCAGTGTCCTGCAGGTGATGTGCCCCACCTCAGTGCACTCGATAGGCCATGCTGTGACCATGCCTTTAACTGGCCTTTAAACAAAGGGGAATTTCTGTGATGCCATAAAACAGTAAGTAAGTAAAAAATTACTTCTCTCAGTAAAGAGAGAGCATGCACGTTTTTATCCCAGTTGGTGTCACTGCAGCTTTTCAATATGCTATAGGTGGTGGGTTCCTTAGCATCAGCAGGTTCAGCAACTGAAAAAATGAAAACACTGTGGCTGTTGTTAAAGTCCATGTTTACCAGAGCTACTGCACGGGCACTTGAAAAGACCGGCTATCCTCAAAGGGCTGTGTTCTGATATTTGGCAAATAACTTTGACACTGACCACTGGTGCTTGGCACTGGCCCTTCAAGTTACTGCTTTTAACAGTGCAGAGCAGAAGCAGCTAGCCAGAAGATATAACTATAAGGTGCTACTCAAAATTAAATACATCTAGAGTAGATAGACTTGTGTGGCAATAAGAGAGTATAGTGTTTTGGACAGCAGAAGAAAGTTCTGATTGAATAGCAAGGTACTTGTGGCACTGGGAATATGGGGTAGTGTCTTTCTGCCTTCATCTGCTCCCACTGTGCCTGAAACTCAAAGTGGAAGTAGGTCTGTAGGCTTAAGACCATCGGCACTCTGCAGTCTTCTCAGAAGAGTCCAGATGGAAAAAAGCAAGTGGCTCAGAGCTTCAGAGAGGAGTGATGGCCAACTGCCCCATCTTTGTTTAGGACGTTACATTCTTGGGGCATGAGAAGTTGGGTATGTCAGGAAAGGGCTTTCATATAAATCATCCTTCTGCTCACAGAAGGAACTAGATAGAGTTAATATATGACATAGAGACTGAGGTAGCTTGACAGCCAGGAGCTAAAAAAAGTTTAAAAACGGCAATAAATCCAGAGTAGAATCTAAGGAACTAGAAGTTGGTAGTGCTGCTTCTGATCTCCAAAGCAGAATTGTTATTCCCTGTTGGCTGGGAGCAGATGAAAGGCCAGTTACTGCGACTTGGGTGCTCCAAGACAGTGCATACAAATGGCAATATGGTGGTAGGTGCTAACACACTGATGAAGAGATCAAAGATGGCTTGTATGGTGGCTTAGAGACTACAGCAATGCTGTGATGTGTGGCAGCTGACAAGTAATGGCAGGCACCCAAGCTGAGCCTGGTGAGACAATACCAGGCAAGCATGGCCTTTGTTCTGCAGGCAGCATGGAGGAAGGGCTGGTAGGACAGACTATGCTTTAGTGCTGTGCTTAACATGGGCAAAAGAGAAACATGCTGGTAGGTACAGTGTCAGAATCTGCTGGCTGGCAATATTAGATGCTAGACTGGCTCTCTGAGCATCAGAAGGCTACTTGGATCAACCATTATAGATGTCAGCACATGTGAAACAGCTTATGTTGTAAGAAACTGTGATTGTATTATAGACAGGAAAATTGAAAATAAGGCTGCAAATAGCCCTCACTCTCACCAAGGAGGCTGACACCAGAGATAAGGCAGTAATGGCAACATAAATTGAAGTGTGACTGTCAGAGCCTGTTTTGGGATATCATGGTTGTCTCTGCAGAATGATGATTTGATGCAACAGTAGCAATCACATTTGGTTCCTAAAGAAACAAACAATGCCTCTGGATAAGTGGGGATGCATAGGATGGTGGATACAAACTGAGGCGGACTATGTGCAGGGAATTGAATGTATGATTTCAACACAGGTAGGCACTCCTGTGCCAGTTTTAGTCTGTGGGTAAGAATAGCAGTGAAGAGGTGGCAGGAGGGGTGTGAATACAGGCTAGCAACTGGAGTACAAGCCCCCAGGAATACTGGGTTATATGAATTATGCCTATGCACATTAGATTTATGCTGCAACTGCTGTGCAAACACCAGCTTCTTAAAAAGAAACAAACCCAAAACCAAACAAAGAGTCTCCTGAAAAAGCAGCAACCAAATCAGTATAGGAAGAGGAAAAACCCCAACCCACTACAAAAAAAAAAAAAAAAAAAAAGCCCAAGACCATGAAGATTAGAACTGCAAGAGAAAGAATAGAAGGGTATGTGGGGACAGTGTCACTGAGGAAGCTGAGCAAATGTATGGGACAGAAACAACTTGGTAAAGCTTCTTCCCTGTAGGTTGTGGTTTCCAGAAGATAACAGATTCTGGCAATAGGAGAAAAACTAAGAGTAATGGGTCCTGCTTTAAGAAATATTAAATCAACCAGTGTCACAGACTGTTGACCATAAGGACAGAATTGGGGAACAAAGCACACAAGCACGTGAAACTGGTGGGAAAGATGCAGCACAACCAAGGTGAGTAAAGAAAGCTGTACTACTGTAACTTTTAGCATATGAGACTGCTGATCAAATAACTGAGTTGATTGAAGCCACAGGAAGAACAGTGCCAAAGCAAGGATGCAAAAGTTGCTGCAATTATCAGGAGAGTTTACAGACATTTCGGCAAGAGGTCAAGTCTTGTGTTACAGCATTTTAACCAAAATAAGGGAGTGTAGAGGCAAAGCTAAGGAAATAAAAACTGAATTTTGACCTGTGAAACCATGTGTTGACCAGATTTTTGCTGCAAAGATAATTGCTGAACAGAGCCATGACTGGCATAAGCTACTTATCATTGAACTGAAGTTGCAAGAAAGCCTTCTGTGTCCTAATTCACTCTGGAGCATCTTGATGTCATGGCACAAAATGCTGAATAGTATTGGTGCAGAAGGCAGAGTTGTGGTGCATGTAAACTCAAGCTGGTGTAGCTGATCCAATGGTCATATGGAAGACTGTACATTCTCATTCCCCTTGCTGTGTTGCTGTTGGCTTCATTATGTGGAAAAGCATAGCTGATACATGCATATACAAAGGAATTGTGTGGTTCAAATGTAGGACACCAGAAAACCAGGTTTTACTGAAGACATGACATTTCCAAGCTCATGTAAGGAGATGTTGAAAGACTACCTGGCTTTGAGAGGAAAAAGCTGTGTTATTAATCAGTTCTGAAAATTAAAAAAATCTAATAAGAATCCCAACTAAAGCACTGTATTAGAAGGGGAAGGAATACAGAGGTGAGTTGGTTCATGTGCCTTAGAAATAGCAAATGCTGCAAGGGAATATCCAGAAAGGAAATAAGAATTGGCAAGGCACCACCTGTATTCACCCCATCCAGCAAGATGTGGCTGTTGAAGAGCTGCAACTTGAAGGTCACACTCAGATCCTGAACTTTAAAGTTCTGCCCTACTGTACAAATGTGGTACAAATATGCTGGAGCTGTAGGTAAGCATGTCCATGTCTGCCAGGGTAACGGCTTTGGGAGGAAGACTGGAGGATTAAATAGAATTCCATACACTGGCTTTTTTTACATGATCAAAGTGCAGTTTACCTCTGGCACTCCCAAGAAGAATGGGAAAATATCTGGGACTCAGAATGAAAATAAAGTTGTACTTACATTAGGAAGAAGCAAAGGAGTGGAGCAAACTTGGAGTTTGTTCAAGTTTGAGTCCCTCCAATCAGTGGAAGTGGCAGTGCCTGAGGCTGAGGGCCCTCAAGAACTGGGGAGATGATCTGTTACTGCACCCCTACTCTGCAGAGAGGCATGACACCTCTCCTTATTCCTTTTTATTTCCATGATTATAGCCCTGCTGGGAATGGTGTTATGTTCCTCTCCAAGGCCTAATTCAGCTTGACTCTTGGCAATTCTCAGTGTGCTCCTGAGTTTTCTTACCCCTGAGCAAGCTCTCACTTGTAGAAGACAGTCTTCCCCCTTTCCACCTAGTTCTCAGCAGGTTTATGGTTTTCCAGAGGGCTTTTGGCACTTTGGTTTGATCAGCTTAAAAAATAATTTACACTGATGCGGTTGTGATGTGGGCTTTGGCACTGCTCTCCCTGGATCCAGGATAAGTTTTTAGAGCATATTGGATACTGGGCCAGCCCCTTCACTCTGACCTGTTTTGTGTGTTACACTGGTACAGAGGCTATTTCAAGGTGTATTAAGCTACCAGAGCAAAGATGTAGAAGGAGAAGATGTGCTGGAGAAAACACAGTATTTTCTTGAATCCTTAGCTACTGGTCCCCACGGACCTGTCCCAGGCTCAGGAGTGCATGGGAGAAGGTGCTGAGTGGTCAGGCTGTCCCACAGTCTGAAGAATGGATTTCTCTTTGCTCCTTATTTCCGAAATTGCAGTGACCCTATCTTCAGTCTGCCTGAGCACCTGGACTGTCTAGCCTAGGTGCTGCCAACTGCATGTCATGATGAAAGACAAGCACAGCACTGCCAGCCAGTCAAGGGAGGGGATTGTCATGCACTGCTCCACGCATGTGTGGCCTCACCTTGAATGCTGTGAGCAGTTTTGGGCACTGCAATAGAGAAAAGAGATTAAGCCATTAAAGACCATCCACAGGAGGGCCATGAGGATGGTGAAGGGTCTGGAGGAGAAACCCCATGAGGAGTGGCTGAGGTCATTTGGTCTCTTCAGCCTAGAGAAGAGGACACTGAGGGAAGACCTCACTGCAATCTACAACTTCCTTGTGAGGGGAAGAGAAGGGGCAGGTACTCTTGTGACCAGTGACAGGACTCAAAGAAATGGCATGAAGCTGAGGCAGGGGAGTTTAGGTTGGATATCAGAAAAAGATTTTTCATCTAGAGGGTGGTTGGACACTGGAACAGGCTCCCCAGGGAAGTGGTCACAGAACCAAGCCTGACAGAGTTCAGTAAGTGTCTGGACAACACTCTCAGGCACATGGTTTGACTTTTGGGCAATCCTGTGCAGGGTCAGGAGCTGACTTGATGATCCTGATGGGTCCCTCCAATTCAGCATATTCAATGATTCTATGAATAAATTAAAACCAAGTTCAGAATGGATTTTTGGCATCCAGTACTGGAATCAAATCAGTTCTTATCCTGAAGCCTGTGGAAGTGTGGGTCAGGGCCCCAGATCAGTCTATGAGAGTCTTCAAGTGGATGCTCATATACTTTTGCTACTGATTATTTTTCTATTATATTTTTAAATTTTGATGTAAGCTGTTCAAGCTGGGGATGGACGCCTGTAGGATTGCTGGTGAGGGGTGTGCAGCAGCTGGTCTTGGCTGTGCTACTGTTTGCAGGTGTCTTCCCCAGTGCCACAGCATGTCACCTTGGTGGCAGTGTCAGGGAAATGGCCAGCTCTGCAGTGTATATAGCTTTCCCAAAATGGTAGACTGAATTTAACTCCATACAGCTCTGTCCTGTGGCAGAAGGTCCTGGGAAGAATCTCTAGATTCACCTCACCTTTGTCATGCCACCTCATCAATCCTCATCAGCCTTCCTGCTGGAAAGGGAGGATCTCTGAGGAAGGTGGTAGGAATTTAGCCACACTCCCTAAATAACTCCTGTTTTCCTGTCTGGAGTGTCGCCTAAGGGTGTGATGGTGCTTGTTTCTGGAGGGTTGAAGCATCTTAGCCATGTGTAGGCCTGAAAAGAAGGGGGAGGGAGGTAGTGTGCAGCTTCAGAGCCCAGCTGCACTGGGCATCTCTGGACATCTTGCAAGATATTGGCACAGATTGTGGTACAAGATGTCAGTACAAGATTCCATTGCAGATGTGGAATTACAATTTTCTAGTTTAGAGATCTCTGTGGAAGAATGAATACTTTGCATCAGTTTAGGTCTTTGCAATCTCAAGGAGTTGACCTGTAGCTTTTTCTGAGGTCAAATATCATTACCAAGTACTTTCTCTTTCTTTTCTGTCACCAAATGGGCAGGAGTCTATTTAGTCAGACAGTGTCACTTCTCTTGAGAAGTTACTTGTCTGTCTTTCCTGTCTTCAGGCTTTAATGACCTTATGTAGATCACCTCCTCCCTGCCCAGCTTCCTCTCCTCACAGCAGTGCTCCCAGCACTGCTGAGCACTGGCTTGCTTTCCCCTTTCTGGTCTCCTAAAGGATGACTGGAGCAGAGGACTTGACTCCTGCTTGCCACTTCTTCATGGTTTCTCTCTTGCTACATCTGCTTTCCCTGCTCTTTCTCAAGTCTTCTTGGTCATAGCTGAGCAAACCCTGCCAGGGGACATCTCATGCTGACACCTGTACCTCTTCATTGGCAGATGAGCCTGTATGACGGCTCACAGCTCATTGCAGCTTGTAGGCACTCTGTGCTGCAAACCATTGTCTGTCACACCAAAACAGCTTGCACAGCACCCGTGCTGGATGCTGTGGAGCTTGCATTAGCCTCTCTGCCCTTGACTAGCCTCTATGCTTGTTTTTCTTCCCTTCTGCTGCTTATCTCTGGTTCCTTCACATTAACAAATATATTAAATAATCTCTTGGGTAAAGAGATGTGCCAGCACCAAGAAATTCTTAACTTCCCTGTTTGTCATGAATAATCATGTTCAGCCTGCTCCCACTGACTCCACCAGAGCAGAGTGGCTGGACCAGGCAATCTCCAGGGATCCCCTCCCAGCCTCAACTGTTCTGTGATCCAGCATTTCTATCTCCCATGCAGCTTCACTCAAGTTTTCAGCCTGGTACTGGCATAGATTTGTCACCCTGGGGTGGCAAATGCTGAGCAGCTGTGGCAGCTGGCCTGGCTATGTGTATGTGTGTGAGTCTGCTCGAGTGGGCCAAAAGTCTGTATTGCCTGTTACCTGGTCTCTCAGCAGATGAGAGTGATGCTTTGGAAAGAGCAGGGCAAGTGCGTGTTATCCCTCATTTAATGCTCCTCCTTTCTCTGACACTTGGTGCTGTGAGAGCCTCCATGAGTTTCCCCAGCTGTTTGTTGAATCCTGCCTTGTGACTGGTTCTTGTTGGAGGAAGCTGCACAGTGAGATTTTGGGTTTACTCTTTTAGTCTATTTCTCTCTTGATATTGCTGGTCCTTATCCCTGCTATGTTGGTGCCTCCTGCACAGGGGTAGAATGGGGTGGATGCCCTGGAGGCTCCTACAGTGTGCTGTGACTTCTCTGGATGGCAGAGCAAGGAGAGCAGTGCATGCACACTAGGACATGTGGTTGAGTTGAAGAAGAGGGGCAAATGGCTGCTATGTGGACAGAAGCTGACTCTGAATGCTGTAAATAGGTAACTTGTGAGTGTCCCAGGCCAGTTACACAGCAGTCAACAACCATCTGCTCCCATGGCTTTTGGACTAATGTAACACTTCCAGCTCTATGGACTTACCATTTTAGTTTTAATTTTATTATCTCTTTGCTGCTTATTCTTCGTACTTATTGATAACTCCCTTTCTCCTCCCTATAAATGACTTGCTGAAGTTTCCCCTGACCCTATTCTCACTTTTTTCTTTCATGATAGAAGGGGACTTTTGAACCTTGTACCATTTCCCTTCCCCTCCAGCCTTTGTTTCCTCATGTCTGTGCTGAGAGATGTTTATACAGTGGCAGGCTTTTTCTTGCAGTTTTATCCGTGGTCTTTGTGTGCTGTGTCCCAGCCCTGACCACTGGCTGAGCCTGCCCAGAAGAAATCCAGCTTAGGGCATATTATGGTCCTCTTTGTGCCATTTTTTTCCTTGTACTAATAATCCACACATTAATTAATCAAAACTCAGTTAAAAGCAAACCTTGATCTGCTGTATTCCAGAAAAAGGTGTCCATGGGATCACATCACTGTCATTGCAGCCAGCTCCTGTTCTTCTGGTGCTTTGCCTCTCAGGTCTCTTCCCTTCCTGACCTACACCCCAGTAGCCTATTCTTCCTGGTAGGATTCATATATTTTGGTTTCTATCATAAAAATTCTGCTTATTCTCTGCCTTTGCCCTTCCTCGGGGAGAACTTCTACCTTCCTTGATTCATGCCCCTGTAGGTGATGGGACTGTAGCGTGAGTTTGTCTTGTGCTGTGTCACGAGGCCCTCTAGCTGGGTTGTAATGGGATGTCTGTGTCCCCCTCCAGCCTAGGAAGCTGTTTCCCCTGCTATGATGCCAGGGCAGATCCCCGACCCGTCTCTGACGGCTGGCGCGCTGCCTGGGCTCGGCCCCTTGACAGGACTGCCCGGCACAGCCCTGACCGCCGAGGAGCTGAAGTGCGCCGACATCCGCAACATCGGGGCCATGATCTCGCCACTCCAGTTCCTGGAGGTGAAGCTTGGGAAGAGACCTCAGCCTGTCAAAAGTGAGGTGAGTATTGGGGGCTGCTGGCTGCAGGTGGCCCTGCAGGGCTGTTGTCTGCACTTGCCTGGGTTTCCGTCCTGCCTGTGCTTGGCTGTCACAGCAGGGTGGCCAGCAGTGTGTTTTATAAGCTCCCTGTTTGGTGATGTGTGTGCATATTGGCAGCTGCTCCACTAGCTGCCTCTTGCCCCTGCCTGATTTTGTGTCCCTGTCTGTCAGTGGTAGCCTCAGTGTCCCAGACCTGGCTGGTCCAATGCAACAATTGGCAGCCATCTGAACTCAAACCCTGCATGTGGAGTGAGGTCTGCTGCAGAAGGCATGTCCCTAGGTTGGGGTCAAGGGGAAGTCACACAATCTGTCACCCGTGTCAACAAGCCTTTGTTGCTTCTGGTATTGGTGTTGCCTCTCCAGCAGGGATGGGGTGTGTGAACAAGCACTGCGAAGCAGTGACTCAGCCCGTGCCACAGGCACTGCTGGCTGGGGGCTGCCCCTGCCCCGTTGCTTGGGGTGGGCCCTGGCTTCACCTCGAGTTTCCTGGGATGGGGAAGGTGGGTAGTTTCTGCTTGGTACCACAGGCTGTCATGTCAGAGCCAGGCTGAAAGGACTAGGGAGGTGCTTGGACAGTGTTTTCCTCTCCCATGTGTTGGTCGTCCAGTCTTTGACTGGCTGAACTGGTGGTGAGTGTTTGCATCTCCTACTGCCTGCAGGTGGAGCTGGGAACCCACCGTTTGAGAGGTCCCACGTTGGTGAGGGTGCTGGCTGCTGTTAGAAGGTCCAATAAACAGTCTTCTGAACAGAGCATTTCTCTGTGTGGGTTACCGCAGATGATGCCATATGAGGATGAGGTGATGTGTGTTCTCGGGAAGCATGAGCAAGGAGGTGCTAGATGATGTGAAAAGCTGCCTGTGATGAGCTGTGAGCTGAAGGGAGTAAGATAAGAGTTCCAGGGAGCAACCTGCTCTCCAAATGGTGCTGACACTTGATTTAGCCCAATTTTTTGGCATAAGCTCAGCAGCAGCCAGGCCTACCTGTGTAGAGCATCCCTGTTCTTTTCCCCCAGCTATTTGAGGTGGACTCCTGTGGGTAGAACTGGTATGATGTAGTCCATCTGATCAGCTTGCACAGGAGCTCTGTGCCCAAGAGAGTGTCCAGTCAGCTTGTGCAGCCTGGAGGTTGCCTGGGAAGGACTAGGCAGCTCTGCAGTGGGAAGACCTGAGGTTGGGATGCTGTAGGAGACCATTGTAAGGCCCTGGGGACGCTAATGGCTTTCATTCCTCTATGGGCAAAGCAGTCATGGATTTTCAGCTGAAGCCAAATTCTCTTCCAAGCTCTTGGCCTGGGTATTAATGCAGCAAATGGTCTGCAGTGCCTGCCTTGCTTCATGGGTTGGGGAAGAAAGAGGGTGACTCTGTGGCTATGCTGTCTTCCCGAGCCCAGCTCCTTTCCTGAGGCATCTTGGGCATCTCTGAGCTGGCCCTGCAACTGCTGCTTTTGCTTTTTGTGGGCATGGGTTTGTGATGTCACTGGCATCTGTGTAACAGGGCCAGGGCAGTTCTGCCCCAAAGAAGGTACTGGAATTGCTGAGTGTTCTCTGAGCCAGCTGTTGAGGCACCATGTGGAGGAAAGAAGAGAAAACCCACTGATAGCCCTTGCACTGCTACCTTCCATGCAGCTGGTTCCTTCCCCTGTGAAGCTGAGGAGCTGAAGACAGCAAATGGAGCTGCCCTTGGCAAGGCTTTGCAGCAAAAGCCTGAGGGAGCTGAGGCAGTAGCTGCTTATCCCATGAGTAGCCAAGAAGCTGCCCACGCATAGTTTTGCAATGCAGCCTGCAGCTGCTTTCCTCTTGCAGGGCGCTGGAGCCCAGGAATGCTGGGTGCCAGCATGCCACTCTGTGGTGCCTGGGAGGACAGGCTGCTTGCCATGAGCCTGGGCAAGGCAGCTGTCTCTGCTCTGCTGGGGACACCAGCACCTCCTGGCATTGAGGTGTTTGTGCCTGGGGGCACACAAAAAACCCACCCTGCAGGGTGATGGACAGCCCCACTGGGAAAGCTGCTGTCCTCTTGGACAGGAGTAGACAGATGCTGCTGGGCTCTTCCACCACTGAATCCCACCTGAGGTGCTCCCTCTGGGACTGAGCCCTGACCCTTGGGCAGACAATCACCTCAGTCTCTGAGGCTGCCGACTGAGGCAGTTCAGGGAGGCATCCCCAGACCTTCAACCCACAGGGATCCCCTAGAGCTCAGCTGCTGGGACATGTTGTTGGGTGATACATTATCACTGTCCCATGTGCTTCTGAGTAACGTCCTAACACTCAGCACCAGGGCCATGTCCCTTTTTGAACTGAAATCAAGCAGAAGTAGATAGGGAAAACTTGCCTTCTTGAAGAAGAGAACTTCTCTGCCCAGAGAATTTGTGGATTCCTCATACCTGGAAGTGTTCAAGACCAGTCTGGATGGAGCTTTCAGCAGCTGCGCTACTGGAAGGTGTCCCTGCCTGTGGCAGGAGGATTTGAGCTAGGTAATCTTTTAGATCTCTTCCAAGCTTTTCTATATTTCTATGAAGCTACAGGAGCTGTGGTCAAAAAGCAGAGCCAAGAGTTCAAGCTGCTTCTGTCTGTATTGAGCATCCTTCCTTGGGCGTCTGTACTCACCTAAAGGACAAAGACCTTTGCTGGGCCCTCTGGGGTGGAGGCAGGGTCAGAGACAGGCCATTTATTCTGTAATTATAGTTGAATGGACCAACAAGGCATGGAAATGTCAGGTGGTTCCCAAGGCTGGTGCAGTTGCTGGTTGCTCTTCCAGTTGCTGTTACGCCCCAAGATGGACTTTTGAAGCCAAGTTTGGGGGTGTTTTTTGAGCTTTGGAGCTGTGAGCACATATTACCCCTCTGCACCCTCCTAGTAATCCTTGAACTAAAAGGCCAAGAAGCTGTCTTATGGGTAGAGGAGTAGTTGGTGAAGGTTCATAGGGGAATTGCATCTATCCTGATGTCCACCTCCTTTTAATTTCTGTCAGGAAATTTTATAAGACCTGGCAGCAAAATGTAGAGTTAGTGCCTTCCAGATTGCTTCTGCTAACCTGTGACATCTAAGTTATGTGGGTGCAGTGTGAGCTGTCCATTTCTGACTGGAATTGGGGATATCAGTGCAGTTCCCATCCTAGCTCTCCCAAGTGTGGTACACTGGTGCCCCATGACACTGCCTTGACAAAGGAATGGTGGCAGCCTGGCATTATGGAAATCTCTGCATAGCTTGTGCTGGCTTTGTTTAATATTTTAGCCCCAGCTAAAGTAGCAACTTTGATATAATGCTTGCAAAGTAAGGTAGAAAAGATGCAAAACCATTAGTGCTATAAAGCTTGGACATTGCCTTCTACAGCATGCTCTGTGCTGTGTTATTGGACATGCAACTTACTTAAGCTACCCCTTCACCCTACCTTTGCTGAGTCCATTTTTCATCCAGTCCTGGTGCATCACACTGGGATGTTTTGATTAGTGGGTTTTGGATCTGGTGACTGTTAGCAGTGTGCACAGTCTACTGTGGATGATGGCACCTGCAGCCTTCATTACCATCAGGCACTATTGGTGTGTTTACATGTGGTGTGATCTTGTGGCCACTGGGTATCAGTCAGTAGGAATTAGGCAGTTCAGTGTGACACCCCAAATTTCAGAGACCCAGGCCAAATGTGGATGAAGGCACTGGGGACCTTTTCTTTTCTATTAATCCTACAAAGTATAACCTGACTTCACAGGGCTTTCCGGCACTCAGATTTTCCTTGAAGCTAGTTTGGGTTCTTGGATGTAGGTATGCCATTTACACAGGCTTTTCAGCATATATCCATAAATAATTTGATTATTGGTTTCTGACCCATAGGGCCTATGGGCCTGGCCTGTGTGGTTTGAGTCAAAGAGCACAGAGAACCGAGTCATGGCAAACAGTGCAGGTACTGCTGTGTCCTGCCTCCTTACAGGGGATGCACGATAAGGGGATGTCCCCACCTTACTGTGGTGGCCCTGTGACTCAGACAGTGCTGAAACTCAGCAGACAGTCCCAGGTATTGGACTGGGGCAGGCCCAGCTGGGGTATCTTCTGGGTTTTTCTGCCTCTTGTCCTTGGCGGTGTGTGTGATGCTTTCAATGTCTGTGGTCACGGAGCTGAGCCTATAGATGTCTGTGTGACAAACCACCCGTGTTTCTAGGAGGGGGCTCCATTCTGTCTCTTCCCTCTCAGGGAGGGAGCAGCCCTGTGAAGGGCTGTCTGTCCCCAGCCAGCCATGTCCTCAGCTGTGGCTACAGGTCTCCCTCTCTGTGTTCCCACAAAGTGGAGGTAGAGGCTGTAGCAGCAGCGTACCTGGTTCCAGTGAGGATTAGGTCATGTTGTTGATGGCCTGTGACCAGGTGGCTGCCACAGTGCCCTGCCGGGGTGGGGCTGCCGTGTGCTCACCCCTACCTCCTGCCCCAACCCACACCTGCTCGCTCTGATCTGGGTTTCTCTGTCTTGTAGCTGGATGAGGAAGAAGAGAGGAGGAAAAGGCGCCGAGAGAAAAACAAAGTAGCAGCAGCACGATGTCGTAACAAGAAGAAGGAGAGGACGGAGTTCCTGCAGCGGGTGGGTGCCCCAATCTGTCCCAGGGCATGGCAGGGACCTCCCTAGAACAGTGCTCCAGCTGAGGGCAGCATTGCCTCCTGAACTGCCCCTCTGCCACCCCGTGCTCCAGTGCCTTTCTCTGGGAAAATACAGCCCCTGCTTTTTGTGAGGCTGTGAAGGTGGTGGCCATGTACATGCACAGGCAGAGCTTTACCCATGGTACCAGGGCTAGAGGTTGGCTCTGGGCTTGTGGTGAGAGAGGAATGATAATGTCTCTGTCTCAGTGCTGGAGCAGGAACACCTATATGAGTGTGGCACAGGATGGGCTGGCAGTATGCTGGCCCCTTGACTGAAGTCCTAAAGATTTTCCCACTCAGAGGCCAGATGCCCACTCCATCTCTAATCTCAAGGCAGAAAAACTGTCACAGCATCTTGCTGTTTTTCTGCAAACGGTGGTGAGACATGGGAAAATGACACAGCATGAGATAAGGAGTCATTTCACAAAGACATATCCTTACAGATGGGCTGGGTGAAGACTTACACATGGGTTTGTTCTCAAACACCAGACCACAGAAAGCAGCCAGGCAGAGGTTTTGCTGGGGTGGGGCAGAGACCTGCCCCAGATGGTGGCTGTGTAATTCTGTGTGATGGCACTAAGTAGCACAAGGCAGCAGGGCTGGGCATGAGCTGCCTGGAGGGATGTGATGCCTTGGCGGGTCTTGAGTCTGCTCCCCTGCTGCAAGGGCTGAGGGAGAGCACTGAGCAGAGGTGGCATGTTGGCCAAATTGTGTCTTGTATCTTGTCCTGATAGATGAAGTCACATGCGGTTGTGTTCCTGTCCTGCTAGGAGTCTGAGCGTCTAGAGCTCATGAATGCTGAGCTGAAGGCCCAGATAGAAGAGCTGAAACAGGAGAGGCAGCAGCTCATCCTGATGCTGAACCGGCACCGTCCCACCTGCATCGTGCGGACAGACAGCATCAAGACGCCTGAGAGTGAAGCCAACCCACTGCTGGAGCAGCTAGAGAAGAAGTGAAGGTGGCACAGGGCCAGGAGGAGGAGACAGTGGCACAGGGTCTTCCAGGGTCTCTAATGTATGTACTGTATGAAGAACTGCACACCCAGGCCTGGTGCAGCCAGGACCCAGTGGGCTTCCTTGGGAACTATGGACTAAACATGGGAACAGAGAAGATCAGGAACCTGCCAACCATGTACTCTGAGGCTGAATCTGGGAGCAGGGCTGGTGGTACCAGTGAGAGCAACCTCCCTGTGATACCTCACCACAGCCCTTCAGCCTGCTCTGAGCCCTGGGACCCATAGAGCCACAGCATGTCCTTGCAGGACCACACAGCCCGTGGGAAGCAGGGCTGCAGGCTGAGGCGTGGCAGCTCTGCAGTGCCCACCAGCACCCTGCCCAGAAGCTGCTGCTGCTCCTGGCACATGCTCCAGAGGGAAACCCAAATCTAAGAACCACAAACACTTGATGCAGCCCCATCTGGTGGGCAGGCCTGTCGGGGCTCGGTGGCGCAGGCGCCCCCCACAAGCACACTCAGTATAATGTTTACAGCCCAGCTGTCCGTGTCGGCCGTGCTTTTGAATGCACATTTTTACACTTTTTTAAAAATATTTTTTACAAAGTTTTTATACAGTGATCTCTATATGGATTTATATAATCACTAGATGTGATCCCATAGAAATGTATGTTATAATGGTCTGTTTGTTACAAACACATATGCCACAGTTATCTCCATTGTGTTACTTGTCTGGTAGCATCCAGCTCCTTTCCTGGCATGCTGGGAAGGGGGTCCAAGCTGCCCTCTGCAGTGGTGTCGCTACCCTCTCCATCCATGTATGTCCTTCATAATACTCAGTTCTGTATCTCTCAGTAAATGTTACTTTTGCGTATGCTGTCCTCCTGTAGCTCTGTTTGGGTCAGCACTGTGGCAGGGCTGAACAGGCCAGGTGTGTTCCTGGCTGAATGGCACAGTGGAGCAGATCCCAGAGCTGGTTTTGGTGGTTGTGTTAGCAGCTGTGGGCCAGGAGAATTCACCCCAGAAAGCTGGGAACCTTCGAGGCACCTCTGACTATTGTCGAGCAAGAAGTAGCTCAATGCTGCACCAAAGATGACACGCAGGCCTAGCTTGCCACTTGGAAGGGCAGAGGGAAACTGGTCCTTTGAAAGGATGCAGAGCACATGCTACACCTCCTTATGTTTTCTCTTTATTTCCCTCTGCAAAGTGTACATGGTAATAAATTCCCTCTTTTTTTCCCTCTTTAGTATCCCTGTGGATACTAGATGATCCAGACACCTTGTCCACAGGCATCTTGTACTTTTTGCTCACCTGGAATGCTCATTTGCTACATGACTTCCAGCAGCACTGGCAGTGCTGTGGGTGCAGGCGCTGGTCTTTGGTGAATAGCCACATTGCAGTAAACATTTCTTGGCTTGGGCAGGAGCTGAATCCTAGCAATGCCCAGGGATTGGAATGAGATTATCTTTAAGGTCCTTCCTAACCCAATCCACTCTCTGATTCTGTCACCCAAACAACCTTCTGCTGTATTCTAGTCACTACCAAGGTGTTTGACGCTCAAAATTTAGGGCATTTCTTTTTCAGGCGACTTGATTCTGTTATAACACAATAAAGTTGAAGCAGAGGGTTTGGGCCTCTTCCCCTTTATGCCACAGCCTGTGACTGGGAAAAGGTTCCATCTCTGTGCAGTGTGCTATACTGCAAACCCCTCCTGGTTTCTCTAGGAGACAGGTTATTTAATATTCTTGACTCTGGTAGCATCTGTCCTCTCAAAACCCAGCTCCCACCTTCTCAGAATTAAATATTTTGCTATGGGACAGATGCTCTACTGGACAGGCTTGTTGCATGAGCCGGTAGCCTGGTAGTTGTGGGGCTGTTGCGAGCTCCACGTCCCGGTCTAGCCAGCCGCCGGGCTGCATCCGTCATCCTCGGGGGTGCTCACACACGCACACATGGATCTCTCCCGTGGATCGCTGTAGCTGGTTGTGGAGCCGCAGTTGCTGGCCCTGGGCGCAGGAGCCTTGAGGACGGCAGTCGCTGCTGGCACGCAGCTCTAGTCTCGCTCGCTGACTGCTCCAGCCCGAGGCTCTCCCGTGCTCACTCAAACCCTCACATGTCTGGAGGAGCCTGGAGACAGGCGCGCAGGAGCCCTGCAGCGGGCGGGATGCGGCAGTGCCGGGCACCGGGCAGGTGCGGTCGGTCCCTCCGCCGGAGCTCCCCGTGCCGGCCGCTCTGCCGGCCTCGCTCCTCGCACCGCCCGCAGGCGCTGCCGCCGCCGGCCCCGCCGCGCCCCGGGCGCGAACAGAGCCTTGTCAGGGCTGTGTACGGACCGAGCCCCCGGCCGCGGACCGAGCCCCCGGCCGCGGACAGAGCCCCCGGGCGCAGACCGAGCCCCCGGGCGCTCGGCGGGCCGGGCGGAGGCGGCGGGGCCGGGGCTGCCGGCAGGAGGCGCCGCGCGGCCGCGGGAGCGGCGGGGCCGGGCCGGGCCGGGCGGTGCCGCCGCATGGTACCGGCACCGCTCTCGCTCGTTCACGGCCCGCTGTGCCCCGCGGCTCAGGAGGGCGCCCCGAGCGCTGACCGCCCTCGGCAGCTCTCGGAGCGGGCCCGCAGCAACAGGCAGGGGGCTGGAGCACCACTCCTGTGAGAAAAGGCAGCGAGAGCTGGAGCTCTTCAGCCGGGCAGAGCACCTTTCCAGTACCTAAAGGTCCCTGGGTGAGCTGGAGGGGGACATTTCACTAGGGCTTGTGGTGATAGGACAAGGAGCGACAGTTTTAAACTGAAAGAGGATTTGGATTGTATGTAAGAACCTTTTGAAATGAGGTGTTGAATGCCCCATCCCTGGAAGTCTTCATGGCCAGGTTGGATAGGGCTCTGAGCAACCTGGTCTAGTGGAAGGAGTCCCTGCACGTGACAGGGGATTGAAACTAAATGACCTTTAAAGATCCCATTCAGTTTAAGCCTTTCTGTCATCCTCTGGTTCATGGTGCCATCCCACGCTTCCATCAGATAGCTCTTGTTAAACATGTGAGCCCACTTGGCAAGACTGGTGCTTCCTGGCCATTTCACCTGCATGCCTCTCTGCTTCTGAGATACCTGAGATAACTTAGCAACCAGGACCACCAGCAGGAATTTCCAGTGTGCCAGCAAGCCTCCTCCAGGACACGCCTATCTTCTGTTTTGTGAGATCCACATTCAGCTCATAACTCTTGTGCTCCTTCTCACACTCACTAGTAGTTCAGGCCAGAGCTCTCCCCAGAGTGATGGGATACCATATTTTTCCTGAATCCCAGGCAGGTGAGCAGCATTACTTTCCATTGTTTAGATCCTTGTAACAGCTCTCTGGTGCCCTTCACATACTAACCCAGTTCCCTCTGCAAAGCCACCCTTTTCTCTTCATTGCTAAGGAAAGGCAGGTACCACTTTACCCAAAATCACCAGGCCTGAGGCAATGGGGGATAAATGAGCTGGGAGTCGAACTACAGTAGTTTGGTTTGAGTGCTCTATACTGCATGCTCAATTCTCTTCTTCTTGCTGGACCCCTGACAAGTGTCAGGGCCCATGGACAGTTTCCCCAGTTGTGTCTTGCCAGCTCCTTGCCCCTCTCTCCTGCAATCAGCTTGTGCTGAAGAGGTTGAGCAGACCATCATGCTCCCGAAGCTTCACTGTGGCTCTCTTCCTTTCTTTCTCATTCTCTCCCAGCCCACTGCCCCATCCTTTTGTAGGCAAGATATGTGTGCAGTCCTGAGGACAGGGGCATCCAGCCCTTCCCTCCCTTGACTTGCAGCAGAGGATGCTTGGGGGTCATTACTTTGCAGTTTTCACAGTATTGTTCTAACTTTGTCTATGAAAAATTGCCTCCTCTGCCCTTCTTGTCGGTTGGCTGAGGGCGACTCTGTAACGCTGTGGGAAGTGGTATTAACTAACCTTTGCCAGTGACCTGTCTCTCTTGTTTCATTTTGAGCTAAGGGCAACAGGTATTCATTTGTCTTTGTCCCTATTGGTTCTTCTGCTCAACTTGCTGGAAAACAAGCCCCAAAAATCCCCAGCCTTGATATTTACCAAGGGTCACGGAAATTGCTTTAATTACCATGGCTGCCGGACTCTGCTGAGCACTAGTGGCACCAGCATGGCCCATGGCTGGGCACAGGACCAGAGCCACGGAAAACTGTGCTGCCAGGATGCTCACAGAGAAATGAGAATCACCAGCTTCTGCTTTCCTGAGCCTGGAAGCATCACCTGGCTCCCCATGGCTTTGCATACTTTTTGCTTATTTGTGATCACCTGATGGCAATTGAAGTGGGGGGGGAGAAAGATGGTGGGAGGCGGGCACAAGCAAAGGGAATGGGTCCATGTGCATCCTGTGCCCACATGGAGGCATCATGCTCCTGCTGGGCTCAGGAAACTCCCCTGTGTGCAGAGCTGGGTGGGTCACTTGTCCCTGGTTAGGGGCATGAGTCTCCCCACACCATGCCGCTGGTGGAGTGGTCAGGGTGATCTCCCAGGTGGGTGATGGAGGCAGGCAGGGCAGCTGCTGTCAGAGGTGTAGCCAGCCCCATGAGCAGGGAGCTTGCTGTCAGCGGCTCTATCACCAACACTTTCCATATGATCCTTCCCTGCAGCCAGGAAGTTTTTCCTCGTCAGGGCCACCAGGAAAGGCTGGCACCCATGACGTCATGGCTGGAGTTTGTCTTTTCTCTGCATCTAAATCCTGAGGAGCAGAAGCCTTGGGAGCACCTGTCAGCTCAGGCTGACTCTTCCACTGCAACCAAGTTGTAATTCCAGGCACAGTCAGTGCCTGTGATGCTTCCCCAAGCCTCAGCACCTGTGACAGCTTCTGTGGCTCTGCCTGCATGCAGCTGGGTGTCCTGCCCAACACAGACATTTCAGCTCCTCACCACACACCTGGGGAGAAGGTGGTGTAGGAGCTGGTGCTGAGGCTGGCAGGGAGACACAGAGCAGTTCACAAAGGCCAGAACCAGACTTGGCAGACCATGCGTTGTCTGGGGCTCACTTTGGGCTGAAGATGGGATGAGAGAGGATGAGAGAGCTTAATAATGCTGAGCCTTTGGTTTTGTCTATCAGGATCAGCAAGAAGTTATTCCCAAATTAGCTAATTTGGTGGTGAAAACCCCTCCTCCAGATGCCTTTCTGCAGAGTTAAAGTGGGTTTTTTTTGGTATGGCTTTTTTAAGTGGAGTGGCCAACTCAAGCAGACTTCAGCCCAGGGATATATTTGGTAGAGCAGGCAGTGGTATGACTGCCTGTGCTGATAATTTCTTTGTGAGCAAAGCCTCCCCAGGAAGTAGGGAGTGAGCCCAGTGGTACTAGGATGGCTTTAATGATGCTTAAGAACACCTGCCAAGGGGTTTATTGAACATCAATCGCTTCCAAGAAGGATGGAAGGGCTTTCCTCTCTCCAGTCCTGTGTCTTGCTGTGCTTGCACAAAGTGTAAGTGGGGTGCCATGGGGATTTGAGAAAGATTAGGCCCTGTGGAGAAGGAAAAGCTTTTGCTGCTCAAGGCAGGAGATGGGTCACTGTGGCTAAGACTGACAGTTCTGCATCCCTATCTAGTTCAAGGGACTCTGCTAGACAAAAAGGCCCTATGTTAGCAAGGTGATGGACTTTTCCAGCCCTGTCTCCCAGCATTGTAACCTGGAGCTCCTAGGAAATACCAGCATGAAACTACTTCCAGAAGCCCACGTGGGTTTTCAGCAAATGCGGAGTTTGGGTCTGTTTGACAAAAGGGTTTCACTGCAGCCTGTCATGTCTCAGATGAAGCTTCAGGAACAGGATTGTTTGCCAGTAACCACCACCTTGTGCTGATGTTATCTAGTTTCTGCAGAATGAACTTGCTGAGTTGTCATCTGTGACACC